AATAATAATTATTAATTTTCTTCATGTTATTTGCGTTCAGTGGTTTTGGTCTTTGCACTTCTTCAATCGTATGATATGCTTGGTCGATTCAATAAGCAAGATATATAACAGAGGTAAATTATGCATCCAACGACTAGTCTCTGACAGGAAATATATACAGAGTGTCCCGTAAGTAAACAGCCAAACTCCGGGAAATGGTTCTATGGGTCAAAATAAAGAGAAAAACAAGAATAACATTCTTTCCAAAATCGCTTCGTTTGCCAGATATCCACCAATTTGTTTTTTATACATAAATATTTTAATCTTTGATGTTTTTTAACCAAAGATTATGACACTTGGTACCAGCATGTAAACCTCTATATTTGTTATTTTTATAATTATTCTAATTTTAACTAAATATTAGTAATGATGAGGGACATATGTTTTAAAAATAGAATGTTTAATGTGACATTAAAAGTTATTAAAACTAAGGTTACAATTTTTTTCAAGGGTGTTTTTCTTTGTCATAGCTATTTTGAGAGAACGGCTGGGCGTAGAAATTCGGTAGGGGTGTCTAAAGAAAGGTCTTGGTCTGTAGATGAGCCATCAAAAGAGAAACGTGGTAAATTCCCTAGGGGCTCTGCCCCAGTGGCCTTTAAATTCCCACCCCATGTTATTCTTATGGAGGAAAACGGGGTTTTTGACACAGCTAATTTGAGAGAACGGCTGGGTGTAGAAACTTGGTAGGGGTGTCTAAAGAAAGGTATTGGTCTGTAGGTGAGCCCTCAAAAGAGAAACGAGGTAAATTTCCTTGGGACTCTGCCCCAGAGGCCTTTAAAGTTCACTCAGCAATTTTGTTTACATTACGACCATATGGATAATTGTACACTACTTTTAATGAACCAGCTGTTAATATTAAAATTGTATTCAAAGGTCTACTGAAACTGTCAAAATTAAATGTTTACATTATTATTTATGATTTTAAATTGATTCTCCACTGCATGGCAAGTTTTTTATAGTTTCAACAAAATGATGAATTTATGATACGTTTTAAATGTTGTGATCAAAAATATATGCTTTATTGCTCTTAGAAAATTTAAAATTATGAAATAAGTGTGACATATCAATTTTAAAGGAACATAATTATTCCTTATCGGGTTAGCTTAAATATATTGTAAGGTTGGCACTTGCCTTTTTTTGTCTACTTTCAATTACCATTTATTTTTGAATTCAAGAAAGAACACCAGAAATTCATTTATTGGTATAAAAGTTTTCGACAATCGTGTTAAAAATTGTGTCATAAATGAGTACGTTGAGGATGAGAGCTGTGTTCAAGTTTTGGAATAGACTAACTACGGAGTATGTTTCATCTATGGTTTTGGTGAAGTAGGTGAACTAATGTCAATTCAGGTATTTAAAAAAATGTATACAGGGTTTTTACTTTGCTGTACACATGTAACAACGCATCTAAACCTCACTACATACAAAGCATTCGGAAACACAACAGTGTCATCACATCTAATCGCATTTGCATAATTTGTTACCAAGGCTGGACTAGGTTATGGATTTGGTTCCGCAAATGTTCAAGATTTGTGATCAAATTTCCTACAATTATGGTTCCACGAAAATTATTATTCCATCCACGAAATACATGCACAGCTTTATGTTATCGATCTGGCCAAGGCGAAACTATCCCATAAGTTAATGAATTATCAAGTAAGAACAGGATGACATGGGTCGATGTGGCAAGAGAAGGAATTAAAATTGCTTGGATCGAAGTAAGAATCTTACTGCTTTCTAGAGAATCAGATATTTTTATCAAATACAAATAACTGATTTAATATGCTGATAAATTCTGTATTTTTATGACCAAAAATGAAGATTTACTTATAAATCCGGATACAATCTGAATGATTTTCCTAAAGCAAATTGAATTAGTTGTTAGTAATAAATATTGACTCTTTCCGTAACATGATAGACTAATTATATGAACTCATTCTCCCATATAGTGAAAGTGGCTTTGACATGAAACAAACTCATGAACAAACAATTATAAGACTCCTAAAAAACCTTTTGGGCAACCTAAAGCCGATAAAAAGGTAGGAAATATTGTGTTAAACGAATTCCTCAATCACGTTTTTTAGGAAACACAATCGTCATACTTATTATTATGCTTATCCTCCCTTCATTTAACTAAGATTTTAATGACTTCACTCTATCTATCGCAGTTAGCTGAATTTACATAAAACCTCAAGATTAACCATCGATTTCGACGGGGTTCCACTAGTTAAATAATAATTTGGAAACAAAAATTAAGTAAAATTTTTATTTCGATTGAATATTTCCTTTCCTTTGGTTGACTTTTGAAATCGAGGTACCGGTCTAGTCCAAAATGGATGCTGAAGCGAAGGAGTCTATAGTTTTAGTTTAATAATGAAATGGAAAGTTCTCACCAATCTTATATACCGGTACGGTAAGTAATTTGTCTTTAGGATTATGTAATTCTCATTTCTTCAGTTTGGTGTTCAATATTATTTAACTATCACTTTATTTTATAATATAATATAAAATTTCACAATTTAGTTTAGCACAGCTATAATGATTATTGTTGATCTGTTCTTCTTGGAAAAATTTACCACACTGTTCATTGTTGTGAATCATCTCTTCATTCTCTATGGGGCTCACTCACTCAAAACAGGTGCCGAGTCCCATCTACAATCTTCAACCCAGATGCATTGCAGCTCAACTGTAGAAATCGCCTTGGAATAATAATCTTGATAAGCCAATGAATAAATTTTGGTTATAAATTATATATATTTTGAGACAATATTTTGTAATTAATATATTAACACAGGTTTTTGGAATCTTAGCAAATACATTTTTACATTATTTTCATAATATGAACACGAATAAATATTAAAATATAAACAGGATTCAGTTTGGAATTTAATTAATTACTATATTTACAAACACTGGTTTTTGAGTTAATTACAATTTTTATAACTTAAATAACTCAAAAACGGCTATGCTATGAAAACATGCCAAGTACACTTTTTTGCATTCAAAATTCCCTATCAAACGACACCAACTCAAAAAGATCGGATGACGAATAACTGAAATATAATGTTTTGTATTTGTAAGATAAGGCAACATAATAACGTGCACCCTGACTAACTTTGCCTTATCTTACAAATACAAAACATTATATTTCAGTTATTCGTCATCCGATCTTTTTGAGTTGGTGTCGTTTGATAGGGAGTTTTGAATGCAAAAAAGCGTTCTTGACATTTTTTTCATAGAATTAGCCGTTTTTGAGCTATTTAAACTATAAAAATTAAAACTTCCGCCAATTTAAACATTTTTAACCTGACCAACTTTATTTTTTTCTACAACAGGTATTGTGTACCTATGTTAACATGCTGGTACCGGTACCAAGTGTCATAAGCTTTGGTTGAAAAACTTCAAAGATAAAAATATTTATGAATAAAAAACAAAATGAGTTATAGCGGTTATCTGGTAAACGAAGCGATTTTGGAAAAAGTGTTACCTTATTCTTGATTTTCTCTCTATTTTGACCCATAAAACCATATCCCGGAGTTTGGCTGTTTACTTACGGGACACCCTGTATAGGTACATTTAGTTTTACCTTTGACTACTTATTTTTTATTTTCTGTTCAAGCAAAAACCAACATTTACCCCAAGCAGGAAATATCTGCTTCAATAATTTGTTAACAATGCAAGTAGACTTCTCATTCATGAAAAAGTATAGAACCTCCTTCTTCAGAAAGCATACACTCTATCAGTATTAAACTACACAATAACCTATCCCTGTCCCTGTTTTCGGAAGTTTAAATCAAACCATTCAATGTTTAGAAAACTTTGAAAGATGATCTCATTAATTTCTCATGTTACAGCGTCAAGGAGGTTTTTTTCAACCTTTAATAGAGGATGATAAGCTCAATTTGCTTTTGTATTGATGGTAAGCTTATATATATATATTATTGCTATATTGCTATTTGCTATATTGGTAGCTTTGTATATATTATTTGGTGAGTGTAGCCTAAGATGAGCAGTACTTTTTTTCTGACTCAGCTAATGCAATTGTTTTGTCAATTTTTTGCTGAATAAAGTAATTTGAATTTGAATGGAGTTATTTATGTGTACTCAATTACCAATTATACTTTAGCATATGAGGTTGTCATTATTTAGGGTTGATTCACTAATCTTTTGATGTAACACCAAAGGTTTATTTTTATTTTTATAGTATTTAATAGTATTTATATAGTGTCTAATTGTATCCAAATGTATCCATTAACAAGCAAACTACAACAGTTTACTTTTTTTCCATGAATAGGAAGTAATTTGAACAAATCCCTATATATTACCACAGACTAAAGGACTAACAATCACTAGTCATAACCTTCTAGGAGAGGTTATGTTTTTGTTTATAAACTAACCACTCTCACTCATTGCCAAATACGGTATATAATCAGCTGGTTGGTGTCCGGTAAAACTCATTACAGTACAGTAGGCCGTAATGAAACCCCATTTGATTAATCTGACGGCAAACAGCTGTTTTCTGGACTAAATCCTTGCGTGGGAAGTTCGTCAAAACAGTGTAGTGTGACGTAAAAATATTATAATTTATGTTATGTCCTAAATAAGTTGTGTTATGCGTTTAAAATGTACTAACTAATCTGGGTATTATGATGTTAAGTATCGTACATTACTCGTCCGGTAAGCTTTAACGTACTCGCACGAAAATCCCGCACTCGGCTGTACTCGCACGGTTAAACCCCACTTACCAGGCTAGTAATGTAATATACTATTTTGGCCACTATGGGGGCATCAAAACAAAAAAATACAGGTCCCAGGTCTAACCATGCCACATACGATAGCTTTAATATATTTATTTTAAAACATTTCTAATATATTGTTTTATTTCAGAAAACTAGTTTTATAACAGTTTTTTTTAATAGGTAATCAGAAGAAAAAATTGAAAATGAAGCTAAATTTACGGTACATAAAACATACCTATCATAACATTATCTTCAGCTGGTTTATAGAATGTGAAATCTATAAGCAGAGAATATTATGTTTAGTATTATTTTGACAACCAGGAAATTAAGAATAAGCCCTTTTTTCTAATTTATAGAACTTTTTTATCAATCCATCATATATAAAACATTGAAACTAATTAAATACCATAAGCAAGACGAGTAAAAATTGTTAAGTTTTAATCCTAAAACCTTATATAAAACATATTCTAAGACTGTTTAAAAGAGCTACAATACTATGTACAATTTTTTCCTTTGAATAAGCATTTTAGAGTCAAAATTAATACTTAAATATTAAAATTTGTAGCTATATGTTAAGGTATCTTCTAGATTAGCTTTCAATGTATAAACAAGCTTACTGCAAAATTATGAATGTGTAGGCTAAATTAGATACTGTAATTATTTTTCCTTAAATACGGCAAATCCTATCTCGGTTGTTAATAAAATTACTTGTTTGTAAATGCAAACATTTAAAAAAAGATATTTATTGTAATATTATTTTTTTTTTGTTAGAAAATCACCATAGTATCCTTATCCGTTTGCATTACATTGCACAGTTAATTAGGTGAATATTTAAACACATTATGAGTGAAATCAGCTAAGTCAATAACCAAGTTACGTAACTCCATTCCATGAGGAAAATACCAATGACAATATTAATTTTTGAACTTGGTACAATCAATCCTCAGGAGCATATCTCAGTTTAACCTAATAGGGGTAATAGATTGTTTGCCCAACACGAATCCAACAAAGTGTTTAAGCAAACTTTAAGCATAAGTTATGATTCTACATCAGTATTCCCCTATTCTACTATTCTATTCCTTTTCTACTTGATAGTCTATTTTACATTGTATGATTATCTTATATAAAAGAAGACTACATAAATCACAGTAAAAATCCTCTTCCTTACATAAAGTGTTGACAAATCCAACTCAAACAGTTCCTTCCTACATCATTGAGTATACCTTTACTAAGAAAGTTTATTGTTTAAATTTCAGTGGTTTTAAGCCCTAGAACTTAAAACCTGTACTATTATTGTATTTTATAAATAACATACAAACACTGACACTAAATAATAATATCAAATATAATGCTATGCAATATCAAAACAGAGAATAAAATATCTACACGTAAAAATATCACAAAATACTGAACCTTAAATTCTTATTCATAATTTACTTTTCATAACTGCTAAATATTAGCAGGTTTAGTATATACATTGACTCAAACAAGAACATAAATATTAGTAAGCTTACTGTTTTAAACAGCTAACCTAAGGATCACTAGATATCTCCTCGAGTTAGAAGCCTGAGGTGCAGCCGGGCCTGCGGTTGTCTGAGTTGCTGGTAAGTGTTCCGTTGCGAGCGATCGCAGTCACACAAGACCTCCACGCTATTGGCATGCGTTTAGTAACATGTCCTATACTCTTCATTCCATCCACTACATCCTGTAATATATAAAAGAAAAATATAATTCCTCAATATGTATGCTGCTGTATGCAGAATGTTTATTTTTACCCAAATAAATATTATCTTTTAATTTTTTTTATAGGGGAGCAAGCTGATGTAGTGGTTAGAGCGCGGGACTTCAGTTCCTGAGGTCCCGGGTTCAAATTCCGCCAAGTCACCAATGGATAATGAAGTGCCGATGGAAAGTGATAATGCCGCAACCCCTATAGGTCTAGCCTAAAGTAATGTGAAAAACAATCCCGGGCTCGTGCCTAGCGTCCTAGGACAAATAAAACTGCTGATTTAACTAGAAATACATAGTTCCCTCACTCGGCTTCGAAAGTAACTATATTCTATACAGCTGACATCAATCAAAGTACTGTAGTTGTTTCCCTAGCTCTAATTTAGAGTGAGGGAAAAACGATCAGCTGATTTTCCCTCGCTCTAAATTGACTTTCCCTTGCTCTCAATTAGCTCTTCATTTACCCACTAAGGGTGCTAATGTTTTGTTACGGTTCATTGATTTAAATCAGCTGTTTTCATTGTTGCAAAATTATATGTATGCAGAAACAGGCATTCGTTTGTTTTGCTGTGTTTTAGCGTAATGTGTGTTTGATATTGCTCAAAATACTGTATGTTTAACACTCGTAAATGATTTGATGACCAAGAGCTTCAGAGATAACTAACTAAACACCTTCCAACAGACAAATTACGGCTTACGAGAAAGATATGAAGAGGAATACAGAAAGTTTACCAACTGGTATAAGAGACAAAATGTTTAACCAAATAAAGTAAGTGACAAGGTATTAATATATTTATTGAAAAAAATATAGGCCTAGCATAACACCATAATATACGTTGTGAAGTCGATTTTCACTGATAAAGAGTGTTCTAAAACTATTGTAATATATTTGTGTTTGCATTTTGATGAAAATTATCGTTCATAACTAGTACCAAAAGTTATATTCCGGCACTTAATCCATTATTCCCGTCCTCGGCTTATCGCCTCGTATGTGAAAATAGCTTTTACATGTTTGGCTTCGCCACACACGTGAAATTTGCCTTTCCTGTGTTCTGCTAGGCCTCACACATGAAACCTGAGCATGCCCCGGAAAATGTCACTTTCCATCCTTAATAATGAAATATATACTATTATGTTTGGTTTATAACTGCAGTTTAGTTTATGGTTTTGCTAGATGTTGAACATAGTTTTTCTGGTTCATCTTTTTTATATACCATTGTTATTTTGGAATACAAATGAACTGAAAAGTCGAACTGAGCTACCAACAGAGTGTGCTGATGTATATTAATGATTTCTGTCAAAAACACCAACTCTTCAACCAAGATAAACTGGGAGGACAACTCATTGTAAATAAATCATATTTAAGTTCACAAACACTGTCAGAGTAACATATACTGAGGATGAAATAGAATTTTACACTGTAGACCACCTTGTGTATTCAATTATGTTTTTTTTTTTTATAAAAATTGATAATATATATATAAGGTCTACAACACTGTAGATTGGATATTTACTTAGATGTAATAAAGTAAAAAAATGATCAAATTAATAGTATATACTAGCAGCCGGCGTCACTTCATGACTTAAAAATCTGTGATATATTTGAAATTACTTACGATTTTCTATTGCTCTGAGTTAAGTTGAAAATTATATATTGTTTACATGATAATCAGTCTTATCACAGAATTGTATTTTTTAAGTAAATCATGAACATAACTTTGTAATTAGTTTTTCCAAATATTAATAAAACGTGTTCTGTGATAACACCAAAACCTATCAAAAAACAAAATCTAATTTAAATCATTTTCTTATTTACTTTTCATACAAATAACATTACAATATATTTTACTTGAATTCACTAAAACATCACCAACTGTAACGATAACCCCAATTTTTGGTGGATGTAAACAGAATTGTATCGTGACCATCTGTTTTGATGTAAACAAATTAATATAAACTGGAAAATGTTTAGATGATTTACAATAGAATTCAGCACAAACACTAAAGCCCGTTGGAGGAAAGTTTTTCATGGGATATCATCCAAAAAATATGCCCATAATAATAAATATTTAGGGGTTAATTTGCTGCACACAAAATCCAACAAATTCTTTTAATAATAGATGTGGCTACATCACTTGCTTACATCTTTTTATAAATTGACATGCAAATTCACGTAAACCTTGACCATTTGGGTTAGTATAAAGAAAACATATAGTGACAACATCATAGACCCTAAAATAGCATTTCTACAAGTTAAATCTGGTTGCTTTTAATTTACAGAGAAACCTAACTTTTTTTATCAATCAAAAACAGCCAAAATCTAGCAAAGTAGGTACAGTACAACTCTATTGTCATACCAGCGGATGATTTTTAATTGTTTCTTTTTATAAATAAATGGTCAATTAACTATATTTGTAAGAAAACCTTGCTTACAACCAGTGGCGGCTTCAGAGAGCAGGCCAGGTAGGCCTACCCAAAATTTTGGTAGATATTTCAAAGTTATAAATAAATAAAGTAATTTAATTATAAAGGGTGCGCCAAAAAAACCTGACGGTTTCTGTTTTGTAATAAGTCAGCTGTTGTACTAGCTAGAGACCTCATTGTTGTAGTGAACGATTGCTTATGTTATGCCATTTTTAGGTTATGTTTGGTAAAACATCACTTCGTCGAAAGAAAGTTACTGTCTAGTGTGGTGTGGTACGGTTTGGAGTCATCGGACCATACGTTTTTGAGGACGAAAGTGGAAACACCCCCCGTCACTGTAAACTCAGATTGCTATGTGGAAATACTTAGCGGGGTTTTGGTTCCAAAACTGCTAATGTAAGGAGGGATAGCCATGACAAACACATGGTCAAACAACAGGACGGCAACTTGTCATACAGCCAATTATTCAATGACAGTTTTGCGTGAACTCTTTCCCGGTAATGTCATCTTTTGGTTTGGTGATGTGCTGTGGTCAGCTTGATCCCCATACTTGATTTCGTGTGACTGTTGGCTATGGGGATATTTAAAAAGCATTGTTTGTTTAGAAATGTCGAACCATCCCTAAACCCAAGCAGTGTATCGGGGAAGAGATTGCTTCTATTCATCAGGCGAAGATTACTGCAAATATGAAAAAAAATAAAATAAAATGGGAAGCCTGCGTTTAAGGGAAGTTCATCACCTAAGTGATATAATTTCTCACAAAAGAAATGGCATAGTAGTGTGTACAATATAACATTATTTAATATATATAATTGTATTTTGTTCTTGAGTTATTTAGCATTAAAAACTGTCAGGTTATTTTGGCGCACCCTTTATTTAAATAAAGGGAAAGCATTCAAACTCATTTGTTTGCATTTTAATTGCAAAATCCTGCTTACAACATTCAATTTATTGTGAGCTTAGTAGAGATTGCACACAATACCTGATTTGGTTCTTTTTAGACTAAAAATTTATATAGACAAATGGATAGGACCAAAGGCCAAGGCCCCACTAGAAAACAGGCCATGCTGCAGGATCCATGACATCAAACTTGGATGGAGTCACTGCCTTATCCCTTATGTTTTAGGTATAAGCTGGCTGTTTACGTCTGGCAACTTTAGTTCAACTATCCACCACTGTGACGTAGTTGCCCTGCCCGCGCTGCAGCATGGCCTGTTTTCTAGTGGGGCCTTGGCCTTGGTCCTCCACATTCGTCTATAACTTTTTAGTCTAAAAAGAACAAAAACAGGTGTTGTGTGCAATCTCTATAAGCTCACATTAATTGAATGTTGCAAGCAAGGTTTTCATACAAATCTATTACTTATTTAATACGCAAGCAGGTTTTTTGTGACAATTACTCCTCCGAAACTACTGAACCGATTGACAGGTTTTTTGTGTCATTGGAAAGAGCGTAACGTGAAGTTGTGCAGGAAACTTTCTTTTTAGGGCAATAATTAGAGAGTGAGGCCCTGGGACCCCTTAAAGTTTTGTATTTCTCCATAAGATTAACATGGGAAACAAACATTTTTATGAAACTCCAGCTGTTGTCAGAAGTTAAAAGTGAGAAGAAGAACATATGCTAATTGTAAACAGTCAATAAGTTTGCTAATTTTACAGTTTGCTACAAGCATTTACTGACTTGGTTGAAATGAAATATTTACTATTTGAATTTGGGTTTGCATAAACATTACAATGGAAAAAAGCGAGAGAGCCTGGATGATTTCATGTACTAAAAAGAAAACTGAATTAACACTGTGGTGCATTTCTTAGTAATCATTGAAAGAGCCGATTTGAAAACTATGGAAACATAGGAAAGTCATAGAACACCACCAAGGAGGTTCCCATAAAAAACCCATAAAATAATGGAAAAATTGGATTTTCTCAAAAATAACCCAAACGATTTTGATACAAATTTAGTATGTTGTAGCCCTTTAAATTCCGAAGAATGGGTATGACTCCCATTTCTGTAAAGAACTACAGTTCAATAGTTATTGTAAATTATGTTATTTTCCCATAAAAACCCCATAAAAAACAAAAAATGTGATTTTAGAATAAATAACCGGTTTTAGTTTAACTTAGTATGTTATGGTCCTTAAATTTTTAGACGTGTTTTTCACTTTTTGAAATTTTGATTTTTAATGGGGGTTTTCCCACAAAACCCCATAAAATAACAAAACAATCGGATTATCTCAAAAATGGCCAGAACAATTTTGATAAAAATTTTGTATGTATTATAGTCCTTTAAATTCTGAACAGAATAGTACAAATCCCATTTCCGTAAAAATTACGGTTCAAAAGTTATTGTAAATTATGTTATTTTCCCATAAAAAAACCATAAAATTAAAAAAATCTGATTTTTTGAGAAAAGCTGGTTTTGATCAAAATGAATATGTTATTATCCTTACAATTCTAAAATAAAAAAAATAGTACAGCACCCCATCGCTGTAACAATTATGGCTCAAAAGTCATATCATATTGACTCTCACCGCGTACCCATGATAAAGGTTGTTGACAAGCTTATGGGAGAAAGTATGTGACAGAATGCTGATACCGTTCATTACAAGTAAAATAGTAAGAAATACAAAATCTTTAGAACATTGAGAAGCAGTTGCAGTAAGGTTATACAATTTAAATTGTCGGATTGTGAACATGTGGGATTCAGTAACTAGAATATAAAATTTGTTACCTGCCTTTGTGTAAAGGAGGAGAGCCTAAAGGAGTCAGAACACAAAATCAACATTATTTACATACTTAATAATAACATAGAAATATAATTTAAAAGCTGCATATTTACCTTTGTGAGTCCGTATTCATAGGCAAAAATCATTGGTTCCAACTGGTGATGGAACCGAGGGTAGTCAATGGCCTCCTTGATGTTTTTATCAAACCAGAGATTCAGAATTGTAACCTGCAATATATATATTTACATTTGTATAGTTTTGTATAGTGATTAACAAGATATAAGCCCCAAAAATTTGTATTACATTAACAGAAGAAATTCTGAGCACTAAAGAAGTATTTATATTATTGAAAGATTCAGTAGTAGCTGTCAATATCCTGGATAATAATTTAAAACTATTGTTCTGCTGTACTGGCTTATTGCATCACGGGTGTTGGATATATATTTATACAGGGTGACATTTAAGTCTCAGGGCGACTTTATAACTTTAAAACAAAAAGAGATATCACGACCAAATTTGGCACGACATTACTGGTAATAGTAAGCTACTTTACTGTATTCATGGTGATCAGATGTCTTGTATAGGGGACGGCCCACAGGGGGTAAGTTGAAAATCTTAAAGGTAAGCATAGCGTATGTTGATATGGGCATAAAATTAAAGGTCTTGTTGAACTAAAAACAAAACCGCAAACCAGACCTCAAATAGACAATCAAGTCAAAATGGCAGCCGTTCAAAGATTTAAAATGATAGATTCAAGAAATACTTGAACGGCTGCCATTTTTGACTCGGTTGTCTGTTAAAATTTGCAGTATTGTATTTTATTTAGAAATAACCTTAATTTTATGTGCATATCAAACTATGCTTAAATTTATTTCTTGGAACTGCAATTGTTAATCTTTAAACGGCTATTTTTTTACTCAGTTGTTCTTTTGAGCTCAAATTTGCGGCATTGTATCCTACAAATAAAGACCTTTAATTTGATATGCATATCGACCTATGCTTACATTTATGATTTTCTGCCGTGATCTGGCGGGTGCCCACTGAGGAGGTAGCGTATAATACCATTGCAAATTCAATGACCTTTAATAACCTTTAATTTTATCCACATATCCAACCTATATGCTTACCTTTAAGATTTTCAGCCTACTCTCTATGGGCCGTCCCCCATTGGTGACATACAATCACCATTGACCATGTACACAAAAAAGTAGCTTACTATTACCAGTAATGATATGCCAAATTTGGTTGAGATATCTCTTTTTTGTTTTAAATTTATCAAGTCGTCCTAAGACTTAATTGTCACCCTGTATGTCAAGGTCTGTTCAAAAAGTATCCGACCTAACTTTTTATCTAGTAATCCAACAACCGCATTGAGCTGCACCCTGGCGCGTAGATCAAGGAAAATGTAAAGCATGTCACTTGACCTTGACATGGTGTCAGTTTGTTGTTGGCTGCAAAACCTGAAAATTTACATAGTGTTTTTGTGCAAAAAAAATGACGGAACAGGTGGAACAGAGATACTGCATTAAATTTTACCAAAGACTCAGTGATACCAAAGCTGAAACGATTCTTAAGATTCAGCAAGCCTTTTGAGAAGAGCTATGGGTGTAACACAGATAAAAGAGTGGTAGGCTACAACAGATTCAAAGATGGCCGCACTTCGGTGTACAGTGAACCTTGTTCTGAGAGACCACCAACAGGTAGAAACGATGGAGTTATCGATCAAGTTTGAGTTTTAGTAATAAGGGATGGACGTATTACTATTCGTGGAAGACTAGCTACAGAAGTTGGAATCAGCATGGGTCAGTTCTTTCAATTTTAACAGAAGATTTGGCTATGCACAGATTTACTGAAAAATTTGCCCCTCAGACCAAATTTTCCCCTCAGAACTTGATAGATGAACAAAAGGAATTGCGGCTTGAAGCTGCTAAAGACATGCTGGAATGCATTGAGAATGACTCAAACTTTTTTTAAACAGTCATAACTTGTGATGAGTTGTGGGTGTACAGGTAAGATTCCGAAACCAAGCCACAGTCCTCTCAGTGGAAACACTCAACATCGCCGTAGCCAAAAAAAGCACGCTGGTTCAAAGTAAAATCAAAGTAATGCTGACTATTTTTTCAACTACAATGGAGTAGTTTATCATGAGTACGCACCTGAGGGACAAAACCTTACTAAAGAGTACTACTTAGAGGTTCTAAGCCGCATGCACGATGCAGTGTCGCAAGGGTCCCGATTTGTGGGCCACTTACTCTTGGTGGCTTTATTAGGTCAACACTCTAGCACATTCTTCCAAACTTGTTCAAGGCTTCTTGGCAAAACATGATATTTCTGTATTTACGCCAGGCCCCCTACTTGACGGATATGGCACTGTGTGACTTTTGGATGTTCCCTACCTTGAAGATGCCGCTTAAGGGACCCGATTTCAGAGCAGAAATGAGATAATTCAAAATGTGACAGTTTGTCTGAAGTCCATTAAGAAGGAAGAGTTCCAGGCTTGCTTCCAAAAGTGGCAGGAGTGCTGGAATAAATGTGTGTAGTCCCAAGGGGAATATTTTGAAGGATATCATATGTTAAAACAAATTTATCAATAATATGCTTTTCCTAAACAAGGTTGGATACTTTTTTAACAGACCTAGCATATATTAAAATACTAATCAATCAATCTTAAACAATTTTTCATGGCAGATATATTACTAGCTTACCTAATTGTACATTGCTAGTAAAGGCTTGAAAATATACTTACACTAGGGGCCACGAGAGTCTGCTGTTGGTGGCAGCCAATAGCAAGACTTGACTAGGGTGACGTTGCAACATCACCCATTCATTAATTTTCAACTCGAATTAAAATATATATTCACTAAAAAGATATATACTATATAAAATATATATATATAATATATATACTAAACAATATATTTTCAAATAAAACAATATATTTTCAAATCAACTGGTATTATTAGATTTGGCAACAGTGTGCAGTCCTCATTGGCTCCTTCAAAGTCACGTGGTAAATAGGCTACTCCCTCAATTGCAGACTCTCGTGGACCTCATATCATAAACTCCCTTATCATAAAGTCACTTAATTTGAATTCCACATTTTCTGACCAACAGATTTAAAGAACTGTACTACTTTATTTATATTTAAGTCATATCTCTAAAAAAACATAATCATTGAAACCAATCTAGCCATAAAAAGTATCTTAACAGTTCTAAGACACTATTATTCCCATACCAGTGCAGTTGATGTAGTAATTTTTGTTCCACCGGCTGCACCGATGGCCAACCTCACATCTCCGTTCCCATCAATGATCAGCGAGGGACACATGGAACTCATCGGCCGCTTCCCTGGAGCTATAAAGTTGGCAGGACTCGGGGGGACTCCAAAATAGTTGGTAATCGCAGGAGCAGAGAAATCATCCATCTCATCATTCAAAATTATCCCAGTGCTAAGAGAAGCAAACTGGCTGCCAAACCTGCAAATAAGACATATGTATTCAAGTAAAACCCCTTCTAAAATTTGTCCAAATGAGTACATTCTAATAGTAAGCTATAAAGAAATAAATAATGAGTGTATAACGTACGGGTACCCTTATGTTTTGCCTTAAAAGAAATTGCATAGGTAGGTGTAATGTAGGCTACACCATGTTTTATGACAAATGCCAAAAGTATGCTTTTTCCAGTGCATGCTCAAGTTTCATGTGGGTGAGGCAATGCCTAAAGCAACATAAAATTTTACATGTGAGGTAAATCCAACCGTTTGAGAGTGAGTTTCTACTACGACTAAACAAGGCAAAGCAAGGGATGGGAATGATCATAACTGTAGTGACAGTTGGTTTAGTATTACCTTTGACTATTAATACAACAACGTATTACTTTCTCCCCTTATCCCATAGTATATGAAGAAAGTATTGTTTTCGTCAAAATTTTCGAGTTTGAGTTTTGAGTGGATATATTTGTTTTGGGCCCCCCTGAACCCAAAAAAGTGGTTTTCAAAGTGATGTCTGTTTGTGTGTATCTGTGTGTGTGTGTGTCTGGATGTGTACAGAGCTAGGGGCTACACCTGTGGTCCGATTTCGATGAAATTTGGTATGTAGGTTCTAATCCATGGTATCTCCAGGCACTTTTTTCATTTTTTTGAAATTTTGATTTTTTATGGGGATTTTCCCATAAAAACCCATCAAAAATCGGAAAAATCGGTTTTTCTCAAAATGGTCCGAACAATTTTAGTAAAAATTTAGTATCTTATAGCCCTTTAAATTCTGAACAAAATTGTACAAATCCCATTTCTGTAAAATATTTTCTAATTGCAAACAAGCAGCTGTTTGTAAGTAATTCAATCATTTAGTCTATTACGATTTTGTTAGTGTACATTATACAGTACTTAAGATATGTAAATATTCTAATTATATTGACAAGAATGCAACAATAAGCTACAACTGATTGAATCAATCAATACATAGCCTACTTTCGATACATACGATTGCTTACAATCAAACTAATCTAAGCTTAGAACTGTGTTTACAACAGCTGATTTTTACTCCATAGGGAGAATGAGCTACTTTAGATATATTTTTTATATTTCTATTTGAATTAATTATGTCCTTAAAAGATTACCACAAATTTGACTGTTGCACTTTAATAAAATAATAGATAATGGCTTACAGCAGATTGACTGTGCTAGTAGCAGCCACTGCGTCTCCTTCGGGACTTACAACCACAATGTTGGCTGTCCCATGGTCCTCTGGCATCACGTAGTGAGCTCCATAGTCCCGCGGGTCCTGTGACGTCTTGTTGTCCTGGATCCGGGCTCGGATCTTCATTATGTACTCCGGAGATGTCAAGTCCTTGATCACCTGTCCAGAAATTACTGTATTTTATTTAGTTCGGTGGTTTGTATCACTGCCCTTTTACCATTTTCCAGAAACATATATGACAAATGGGAGTTCTTCAACTTGGTGCCAACCTTTATATGTTAAAAAAAAGTCCACCCGGCACTGGTCTTTCACGCATGACAGTATGACAACCTGGCACCAGCCACCCCTCTTACCCATTCCACCTACACTACTCCCTCCCAACCCCTCCTTGCTCTTTTAATCACCTTCCCTTTCTGTAAGGCTCCTTTTATACTCTGCGGCAGCCAAGGCATCGGTGGGGGTATCAGGGCTACCAACTTGGGAATTTCTATATTTACTTCAATTGTAGTAGGATGTGTCATTTTACATACACAAAACTTACAAACTGATGCTCAGAAAAGAAAAACATAAGCAGCTACCACACCGGCAACAGAAAGTTAAAAGGGGGAAGCAAATCAGTACCGTGTTGGGCTGAGTTTTAATAAGTTAGCAGCACTTGACAGCGCCACAGAGCAAAAAAGCTCCCATATAACGCAATGCACCTAGAGGCCGCACGTTTCTGCGGCTCGTAGGTGCGCCGTTGTGCACCTAGCCAGTCGCAGTAGCGTGCGGCGGCCGCCGCAGAGTATAAAACCCCTGCCGAAGCAAACCTGCAGACTAAGCGAATTTCCATTTACCTGATTGGATTTACACTAAAATGTCACCTTAAAAATATCACATTTATTCCCTATTTAAATAACATTAGTTTAACAAGTACTTAGGTTTGCTGCAACAGGGAGGGTAAAAAGGTGTTTCTTTTTTAATGTAATAGTTTAGAATAAAATTAATGCATTTTCCAAATTTGATCAAAATATGTTCATAAACAAGCAAACTACAACAGTTTACTTATTCTCCATAAGAATAACATGGGAATTTTAAATTTACAGATTTTTGGAATTTTCTCCGTAACCATTAGGCGCATATTAACGTTTCAACATACTGAATTCTTTTTTTTTTTAAGCTCTGCAAAATGGTAAGGAAAGAATTTGCTAAATTTTAAGTTTTTAGGGTAAAAAAATGGGAAAACCCAATTTTTACCCCATAAAACCCCCCCATAAACCCCTGTTCCCATAGTCCGATCATGCTGGTTTGCGAACTCGTTCGAACAAACGTAGGTATACACGTTGGTACCAAATTTCATCAAAATTGAATTATCGCGCTAACGGACACATATATAAATAAATATATATATATATAATAAGTATAGTTGTGATTAGGGCTACTACTATATTAATAATTGGAAACATTATAACAACATTAAGTACTCTTTTAAATTCATTTTAATTAAAGAAACGACATGTTTCGACACTTAGGTCATAGTCATGTTTTTATACAAATACAATAACAAACTAATGAAAGGAATAAATATAGTCATATGTTAAGCTAACTTAAAATTTAGAGGATCTTGATTCTATTCTTTGTTTAATTTTGCGTTTATTATATATATATATATTATATACGTATATTATATTAGCTTAACATATGACTATATTTATTCCTTTCATTAATTTGTATAAAAACATGACTATGACCTAAGTGTCGAAACATGTCGTTTCTTAATTAAAATGAATTTAAAAGGGTACTTAATGTTGTTGTTGTTATAATGTTTCCAATTATTAATATATATATAAATATATATATATATATATATATGAATTTGAACGGATGGTGTTTTTGGTCTCTAGGGACCTCATAACGAAAAAGTAAATCGGTCCCGGGTCCAGGTCTTACCATGAGTACTACGATAATAGCTTATTCCCTATAGGGGAAATTCGCTAATATTCCCTATAGGGGAAATTTGCTAAAAGCACCCATTTAACTCAATGCACTTACAGGGCCGTCGAATGCAGCGAGGTGCGGCATGCCGCAGAGTATAAAAGGGGCCTAGCGTGCCTAAGGTTCGCACTGTCCATGACCTCCTGATACCTCCCTTAAAATAATTGGTCACCAAGCTTTACCAAACAAAGGTATGAGATGGCTTTAAAAATTAATGGGAGCGAACTATGTAAAATGAAGGCAACACTTTGTTAAATAGTTGGGGGCCAAGCTTTTCTAAACAAACATGTGCGCAAGAGTTTTGTAAAATGAGAAGGTAACTAAGATGAAGATAATCACTTATTACTTTGTTTTACTACTTTAAAAACTCTAACACATTGTTTCCAGGAAAAATATTTACTGTGCAACGTTTCATTAGGTTAACTAGTTTCAACTCATTAGTTAGTTAGGAGACATCATTAGTGGCGAGTATTATATGACTTGTCGCTTAATATGAAGGTAGCAAACATCAGGATAAAACTTCCTACCGGCCAGACAGGTTACAAGGACACTGATAAAACCTTTACCTTGGATGTTCTTATCTACAAGTTTTATGGCACATCTCCAGGGTTTTGGAGGATATAACAATCAAAGAGTTTTATCTCATGGGTGGTGTGAATAAAAACTAGTATTTGCTTAAACTAAGCTGATTTCAAGTATATTCTAAGTTCTAGGTGAATAAAAATAGTCAGAATATACTACCCCTAGTAAATTCTAAGATCACCAAATGACTAGAATATTCTAACCTTTGTAGGTGAATAAACGCTAGTTTTTACTAGCCAAGGTTAGTATATTCTTAAAGATTTTTAAGCTAGGGGTAGGCAGGCTAGCTTTCTAGTGACGGAGGCCAAAGTTGGGTTGTCATTCAGTCTTGGCTATGTTTATGATAGAAAAACGCACTGTGATAGCCGTGAGTTATAGGTCTCGCCACCCTAAGGGTAAAAACACAGTGGAGCAGGGCAGGTAGCTGGTAGCCTAGCAGGTCGCTTACTCGCTTACTGCTATGTAGAATTAAAGCACGCGTTGTTATGGGTACGCACACATTCGCGCCTAGCAGGTAGCCGAGATGGTAGCAGTAAGCTAGGCGGCAAGCTAGAAGAATTGCCAAGTCGATTGTTTGGGAGCTGCAAGCGGGGATGGCTCGACTGGGGCATGCGCAAATAGCAGAACTTGACAGCCACGTGTTCTCGAGTTCGCTATTTCCACGTCGGATCTTTCACTGCGCATTCTCTGTATACGGAGTGTTGTTTGTTTTAATCGATTTATTTAGTTGTTGTTTTGTTTACAAGAAATAAAATAATGGACGTAGAAAAATTAATATCAGAGGTTATTATCCGTGTGCCATTGTGGAAACAAGTCCACCCGGACCACCACAAACGTCACGTACTCGACGATCTGTAGAATGAAATAGCGAATGAACAAGGATTCAAACAAAAGTTTATCCTGTACCACTAATAATATAAGTGATAATATTAGTATCGGCGGCTGACAAGCGACTGTACTGAGCGCCACTGTGTGTATGTCCCAGCTACCATCCAGGTAACCAGCGGTTAAGCGAGTAAGCGACCAGCCAGGCTACCAGCTACCTGCCCTGCTCCACTGATGTGTTTTTACCCTTAGTTGAGGCAGCCCAGACGGACGGGCAGGGTCATTATCGGCCGGTCCCGCCCAACCCTTTATAATCCGATTAGTGACACTTCCGTGAACGCTCTAGTTCCATAATTGTCATTAACAAAGTTAAAAACCGATGTATAAATTTAGTCTTTTACAGTAATAACGTCGATTTAACAAACATTTCCGTTTTTGTCCCATCAAAATCGGACAATGTTTACGGTTTGTGAGCTATAAACAAAAAACAAAGTAGTGTAGATCCCAAAATAAAAAAAACCGTAAACATTGTCCGATTTTGATGGGACAAAAACGGAAATGTTTGTTAAATCGACGTTATTACTGTAAAAGACTAAATTTATACATCGGGTTTTAACTTTGTTAATGACAATTATGGAACTAGAGCGTTCACGGAAGTGTCACTAATAGATGAGTGAACGAAGTGAACGAATCTATGTATCGTGTATAGCGGAGTCGGAGAAAAGTTGTCCGCTGGATTATGTGTGTGTGTGTGTGTGTGTGTGTTCGCACCTAAAACTCAAGAACCGTTGCACTTATAGCGTTCAAATTTTGCACAAATAGTTATGACACCAGTGTAAAGACACCATTAAAATTCTAGACGATTCCGCTCAGTAGTAATTATAAAATACTTAAAAAACATTTTTAAATTTGTCCCATAAGAATAACATTAGGAGCTACCTTCTTCTTCTTTTTATTTGTTTACGTTTTGCGACCATCAATTTTGTTGTCTACTTAAGACAGAGAGAACGACTTTTACTCTAAGCTCTTTCATTCATGGAGTAAACAGTTTGGCGTCTATGAATATATATCATTATAATTTCACAGCTTTCAGAATAATGTTACTAATTAAATCTCACAACTTTCATAATAATAAACATGGTGGAATGAATAATAAATTGAATGAACTTCCACCATGAATAATAAATTGAACTTAACGATATTAGTCGGCAGTTATATACCGTTTATGTTCAGTATTAAAATTTCGCCTTTTAATTAAAAGTATATAGGTATGTATGTATTTAAAACAAAGCAGCTTTTTACATTATTCAATTTAATGTTGGCATTGAATATTAAATATTCAAAAATGTTGGTATATTTTTATACTAAAATGCTATGCGAAGGGGGGGGGAACAGGTCCCCGACGTAGAGAGTAGTAAAGAAAGCGGAAAGGTGAGCAGTGAAAAGAAAGGAGTACGGAAACCCTTTATGACTGTTAAATTAACGTATCTGTAATACTTAAATGCTATGGAAAGATAGGGAAACAGGTCTACGATGTAGGAAGTAGTGAAGGAAATAGTGAAGGAAGTAGTCAAGGCGAGCACTGTGGAGTGTGGGGGGCCTTTATGACAGTTAGAATAATGTATCTGCAATTCTAAAAATGCTATGGGAAGGGAGGGAAACAGGTTCACGACACTTAGGAAGCGGTGATGGAAGTAGTCAAGGCGAGCAGTCCGGAGTGTAGAAACCCTTTGTGGCAGTTAGATTAATATAACTGCAATTCTAAATTCCAATAGGAAGGGAAGGAAACAGGTCCACGACGTCGGAAGCGGTGATGGAAGTAGTCAAGGCGAGCAGTCCGTAGTGTAGAAACCCTTTGTGACAGTTAGATTAATATACCTGCAATACTAAAATGCTATAGGAAGGGGAGGAAACAGGTCCACGACGTAGGAAGTGGTAATAGAAGTAGTCGAGGCGAGCATTCTGGAGTGTAGAAACCCTTTGTGGCAGTTAGATTAGTGTAACTGCAATTCTAAAATGCTATGGGAAGGGAGGGAAACAGGTCCATGACGTAGGAAGCGGTGGTGGAAGTAGTCAAGGCGAGCAGTCCGGAGTGCAGAAACCCTTTGTGACAGTTAGATTAATAAACCTGCAATACTAAAATGCTATAGGAAGGGAGGGAAACAGGTCCACGACGTTGGAAGTGGTAATGGAAGTAGTCGAGGTGAGCATTCTGGAGTGTAGAAACCCTTTGTGACAGTTAGATTAGTGTAACTGCAATTCGAAAATGATATGGGAAGGGAGGGAAACAGGTCCACGACGAAGAAAGCGGCGATGGAAGTAGTCAAGGCGAGCAGTCCGGAGATTAGAAACCCTTTGTGACAGTTAGATTAATATACCTGCAATACTAAAATTCTATAGGAAGGGAGGGAAACAGGTCCACGACGTAGGAAGTGGTAATGGAAGTAGTCGAGGCGAGCATTCTGGAGTATAGAAACCCTTTGTGACAGTTAGATTAGTGTAACTGCAATTCTAAAATGCTATGGGAAGGGAGGGAAACAGGTTTACGACGTAGGAAGCGGCGATGGAAGTAGTCGAGGCGAGCAGTCCGGAGTGTAGAAACCCTTTGTGACAGTTAGATTAATATACCTGCAATACTAAAAAGCTATAGGAAGGGAGGGAAACAGGTCCACGACGTAGGAAGTGGTAATGGAAGTAGTCGAGGCGAGCATTCTGGAGTGTAGAAACCCTTTGTGAAAGGTAGATTAGTGTAACTGCAATTCTAAAATGCTATCGGAAGGGTGGGAAACAGGTCCACGACGAAGGAAGCGGTGATGGAAGTAGTCAAGGCGAGCAGTCCGGAGAGTAGAAACCCTTTGTGACAGTTAGATTAATATACCTGCAATACTAAAATGCTATAGGAAGGGAGGGAAACAGGTCCACGACGTAGGAAGCTGTGAAGGATGTAGTCAAGGTGAGCAGTCCGGAGTGTGGGAACCCTTTGTGAAAGTTAAATTAATCTATTTGAAATTCTAAAATGCTCTAGGAAGGGAGGGAAACAGGTCCACGACGTAGGAAGTGGTGAAGGATGTAGTCAAGGTGAACAGTCCGGAGTGTGGCAACCCTTTGTGTAAGTTAAATTAATCTATTTGAAATTCTAAAATGCTATAGGAAGGGAGGGAAACAGGTCTACGACGTAGGAAGTGGTGAAGGAAATAGTCGAGGCGAGCGTTCCGGAGTGTAGAAACCCTTTGTGATAATTAGAATAATGTACAGTATCTGCAATTCTAAAAATGCTATGGGAAGGGAGGGAAACAGGTCCACGACGTAGGGAGTGGTGAAGGGAGTAGTCGAGGCGAGGAGTCCGGAGTGTGGGAACCCTTTGTGACAGTTAGATTAATGTATCTGCAATAATAAAATGCTATGAGAAGAGAGGGAAACAGGTCCACGACGTAGGAAGTGGTAAAGGAAGTAGTCAAGGTGAACAGTCCAGAGTGTGGGAACTCTTTGTGACAGTTAGATTAACGTATCTGCAATAAAAAAATGCTATGAGAAGAGAGGGAAACAGGAAATACGTTACGTATATTACCAATGACTTTGGTTAATTAATGGACGAGAAGTTAGGATTGTTGTTGACTGAGATTTGGTTTTTTTTGAGAGGTTGGTCCAGCCTCTTTTAACCTCGCCCGTGCGTGGATCGTTTACAGCAAAGCAATTGGTGAGCCGGTACAGTACAAAGGTGAAGTGTACTGATAAAATTTAGTGGCAGTGACCAGGATCCGAACTCACGACATCGCTGCCTTGGGCCCGAAGTTCGCGTGGCGCTACAGTACCGACTTGAGTCACCGACTCGCCATTATTTGCCCCGACTCATGGGTTGATTTGCCCATACAAATAACATTATTGTGTACACCAGTGACACCGGTAAGTGTGCTAGGTGTGGGTAAACTCTTTCATTATTGCGCTCATGTTCACTCATCCTGTTACGCGCAGAATAAGCGTACTACTAGTCGGATTATAAAGGGTCGGGCGGGACCGGCCGATAATGACCCTGCCCGTCCGTCTGGGCTGCCTCAACTTAGGGTGGCGAGACCTATAGATGTAGATATGTAAAGCAGCTTATGCGTTTTACTAGTGAAAACATGGATTTTACAACAAGTGAATTTTTAAAACTGCTGTAGCAGTACTAAACGTTGAAGTTCCGCAAGTGATCTTTGGTTTCATCTGTTTTATATTCGTTTTTCTTTTGTATTCCTCATTTAACATTTTTCTTTGAGCCCCTCCAATTCACCAGTGAAGGAAACAGAAGGTCCTTAGAGTGGGTCTCCTTCATTTTGTGCGTGTCTCTTAATGCCCACTGAAATGGAACCGGTAACTTTACTAAACACGTCTTTTCTTCCTGATTCATATCTAGAAATTCATTTTCCCAGTCTTTCGGCTTGATGGCTTTGTTTCCCGTAGCTTTCATATCCGTCTTCTTTTTCAAACAGTTTTAATATTATTTATGAGTTTTTTTTCACTTGTGCTAGTAATAACCTTTCCTAATACATTGCAAAACTTGTTTGTTAATAAGGACAAGGCTTTAGTTTTTGTTTGCATTTTGTATTTATCCAAGACAATATATAACTATTTTTTAACGATTTTTACCAGCAATGCCCGATCAACGTTAGTACATGGAGGGTAATATTCACTTGCAGACAGATTAAGCTAGACTGAGGTATTCCTGTGTAGTGTGTGAAAACAAAGGGCACCAGGGCGGGTGATATGTTCAGAATTGAAAGTTTGTATTTTGTTTAGTATTTTCTAGGCCTAGTTTACTCTAACCTGTTAGAATATACTAGGATTCGCCAAATGACCCAAGTATATTCTAACTAGTTTTAGCAAATTCTTATTCACCTAGTTTTGAGAATTAGCTAAAACTAGTTAGAAAATACTAATGAGAATATACTAGTTTTATTCACTCCACAGCTGTCTCTCTGTGTGTTGGTGGCCAAAGGTGAATATTTCTCATTTCCATCCTTCCACTTCCAGTCCACACACAGAGACTAGTATAGAGTATTTTATTGGTCTTCCAGATGGTAAACATCCCAACCTCAGGTAAATATATATACGAGCCGAGGCTTTATAGTAAATAGCCGGTAATGTTCAAACAGGGTTCAACCCAACCCAACATGAGTTAACAGCACTTTAACTTTAATGGAGGTGTAATAACATTATTACCGTACTTGGTCTGTAAAATGTACTTCAAAGCATAAATCTGCAATTTTTTTTTTTTAATGATTGTAATCCAAACAATCTGAATAATTAGTTTATGGTGTTGATCTTAAATTATTGAACATGTGAGGCACACTCTTCAAAATCTGTTGTTCACATTAAGCTCTTGTAGGGACCTTCGTATAGCTATTTTGTTTTATACAAGACATGAAGAGATTTTAAACCTAATTTTTTTAAAACAAATTTAGGGCTTGGTTTAGACTGACCTGTGTGATGTCTGAGAAGTGAGGGTCGCCGATGTCAGTGCGTCTGCCGTACGCATGTTTGAAGGCCTCAGTTATCCTCTGTACCACGGTGACATCGTCCATGTCCTTGGTGACAAATCCGTCCAGTAACTGTAGCATGAAGCCCAGCAGCAGCCCAGAGCCAGGAGGTGGCATCGAGTACAGAGTCAGATTGTTGGAAAGAGGCGCTTTGATGGGTGGTTGCCACTTCACTCTGTAAATTCATCAAAATAAGTTCACTCAAGGTTTTATAATTTAAGTCTTTTAAAAGAGTTGCCGTGTACCTTAAAATTGTATCATTGACTATTGGATACAGAGGTAGACATCCCGTCTATGTGAACCAGCTGTTGCCAATTTTTCATTAACAATGAACAGTTGGTGTTACAATGGCAGATTAAGTTACAAATAATTTCTGTATAGATGGCAGTGTAAGCAAATTTAAATTAGAAAAGTATGATATTTCCAGGATTCTTGATTTTGCAAAAGTAGCAATGGCTCTAAGGGCTTTCTTTTGCCAGACAAGTTTTTTTAGCAAAGTGCAAACCACCCCAGAGGTACAAACCATAAAGCAGCTGTGAGTCAAATAAACTGTAGTAATCATATAGTAGTTTACGCAACGATTGCGTTAAGTGAGTCTTTACGACACGAGTAGAAAATTTAAGGCACGAGCCTTGGCGAGTGCCTTAAAAACTTCTACGAGTGTCGTAAAGACTATTAACGCGAGTTGCGTACACTACTTTACCTACGACCGTTTTTTAATTACTATCAATCTGGATTTAATTACTAACAATAACTACCGATAACTTTTTAGAGAGGTTATGTTTTCGTGTATTGTCATTGCCACTGAAAGTGATGCAACGACTTGTTGTATAATCAGCTGATTTCCTGTAATTACGTGTTTGTTAAACTTCGTTAAATATTACATTTCTAGCAGCATTCTTACCATAAATAATATTGTATCAGGTACAATTCGGCAAATATTTCATTTATTTTTGGACTTGTACCAACTTAATTAAGAATACGCGAGTATCAACATGAACAAGTCGGATAAACAATTAAATTGGTCAACTGATCAGCTGATCAGCTGATTAGTTGACGTTCTTGAAGCATTACAATTTTAATTCTTTTCTCTCAATACTTGAACCTCATTGGTCCGTTACCTGTGTGGATATGAGAAAACTATGCGGATATGAAATGAAACTATGCGGATATGAAAGTAAACAGCTGTAAAGTGAAACTTTTCAATTCTAAGAACTGGACTGAAATGGCTACTTTAAAAAACAGTCGTAGGTAAAGTATTAAAACTCACACGTGATCTGAATTTTCTCAAAAGACGTGTGGTTCTAGCCAATCTTTTACAAAGATGTGTTATATGGCTATCCCAGTTTAATCTGTTATCAAGGGTGATACATATAAGAGTTAATATTGATGTTTTTTTCAAGTGAAAAGTCAATTATTTCTGTTTTGTCTTCGAGGACAGCCAAATTATTGATTTTATACCAGAATCTAGCACAGTTAAGATCATGATTAAGATAAGACTCAAGTGCTAAAATATTATCATCTTTACTGAACAGTGTGTAGTATCATTGAGTACGATTGAGTAGAGACATTAAAACTAAAGTTGATAGTAAATATCAAAAACAGAAAAAAGGTCCTAAATGGTCCACTGCACAACACCAGCATTCAATTCCAAAATATCTGAATAATAATTTCTAATCATGACCGGCTGCTTACAGCTTTCAAGATTAGGATTGAATGATATTTAGTTCACAGTTTCTAATGCCATAGTAATTTAGTTTATCAAAAAGAATGGGATGAGAGATTGTAAAAGCTTAGTCAAAATCGATGAGTCTTTTGTGCCAGTCACTAGCTTGTCTTCAAACCCTAAAGCCATATTGACCTTTAATAATCACAGTAAAAAAGTGTTGTTCAAACATGCATGACCCAATCATTGTTCCTAAAATTAGAACCAAAGCTATTGGTCGGTAGTTTGACGGCACATTCTTGTTGCCTTTCTTGTGAATTGACGTTACTCTGGAGGATTTTAAACAGTCAGGAAACTTGCCTCTGATAAATAGCCTGGATAAAATTTGTTAAGGGTTCCAGAATAAAATCAACTATGTACCGTACTTAAGAATAAAATTGTAGAGTCCAAACAACCCTTAACTACAAGAACTACTGAGTTTACAGACCAATGAATGTACTTTATGTTTATCAACAAGGGTCCATCTATATAAACAATAAAAAGTTTTATCCATCCATAGCCTATGTATTTCCAAAATGTTTGTAATTATAAGTTATAACAATAATAATTTATTTTAGCAAATTTATTGCCACTGTTTTCAAGTCACTCCCTTCACTAAACTTTTAAAAAACAAACCTGTAGCAAACTAATATTTAAAAAATATCAAAGATTACTTGTATTGTTATTGTTGTATTAATTAGTTCTTAAGTTTAGATCGATTTCCCTTACAATATTAGTTATTAAATATTATATTAGTTATTATTTATTATCTATATATTAATTTGAAACTGTTTTTCTTTGTGACAGCTAATTTGAGAGAACGACTGGGCGTAGAAACTCGGTAGGGGTGTCTAAAGAAAGGTCTTGGTCTGTAGATGAGCCATCAAAAGAGAAACGTGGTAAATTCCCTCGGGGCTCTGCCCCAGTGGCCTTTAAATTCCCATCCCATGTTATTCTTATGGAGGAAAAACGGGGTTTTTGTCACAGCTAATTTGAGAGAACGGCTGAGTGTAGAAACTTGGTAGGGGTGTATAAAGAAAGGTGTTGGTCTGTAGGTGAGCCCTCAAAAGAGAAACGAGGTAAATTTCCTTGGGGCTCTGCCCCAGAGGCCTTTAAAGTTCACTCAGCAGTTTTGTTTACAATACAACCATATGGATAATTTTACACTACTTTTAATGAACCAGCTGTTAATATTAAAATTGTATTCAAAGGTCTACTGAAACTGTCAAAATTAAATGTTTACACATTATTATTCATGATTTTAAATTGATTCTCCAAAATCTATGCTTTATTGCTCTTTAAAATGTGAAATTATGAAATCAGTGCAACCTATAAATTTTAAAGGAACATATAATAATTCCTTATAGCTTATACATATTGTAAGGTTCAAGAATATTATTGAATTGAAGAAAGAAGATCAGAAATTCATTTTTTGGTATTAAAGTTTTCGATAATCGGGTTGAAAATTGTGTCATAGATGAGAGCTGTGTTCGTCACGTTTTGGAATAGACTAGGCCTAACTATGGAGTATGTTTCATCTATGGTTTTGGTGAAGTAGGTAAATTAATGTCTATTCAGGTATTTAAAAAAATGTGTACAGGGTTTTTACTTTGAAGTACACATCTAGCTAGGTCGAACAACACAATCGTGTTAAAAATTGTGTCATAAATGAGTACGTTGAGGATGAGAGCTGTGTTCAAGTTTTGGAATAGACTAACTACAGAGTATGTTTCATCTATGGTTTTGGTGAAGTAGGTGAACTAATGTCAATTCAGGTATTTAAAAAAATGTATACAGGGTTTTTACTTTGCTGTACACATGTAACAACGCATCTAAACCTCACTACATACAAAACATTCGGAAACACAACAGTGCCATCACATCTCATCGCATTTGCATAATTTGTTACCAAGGCTGGACTAGGTTATGGATTTGGTTCCGCAAATGTTCAAGATTTGTGGTCAAATTTCCTACAATTATGGTTCATTCCATCCACGAAATACATGCACAGCTTTATGTGATCGATATGGCCATTGCAAAACTACCCCATAAGTTAATCAATTAGCAAGTAAGTACAGGATGATTAAATACATGGGTCGATGTGGCAAGAGAAGGAATTAAAATTGCTTGGATCGAAGTAAGAATGTTACTTCTTTCTGGAGAATAAGATATTTTTATCAAATACAAAAAAGAAAAAAGATTTAATATGCCTCCCGCTGATAAAATTATGTATTTTGATGACCAAAGATGGTGATTCATATACAATCCCAATATGATCGGAATGATTTTCCCAAAGCAGATTGAACCAGTTATTTTAGTAATATATTGACTATATTAATATCGCCGTCAGATTTAATATAGTTTAATAAAGATTTCAAATTTAAAGATTAAAGATTTTAAAAACTAGGTGGCGTTCGCAGAGGCATCCACAAAATTGAGCGGAGTCATCAAGGGTTCATATTATATTGTTTTTATCATACTGCAGTAAAAACAGTCGTCATTGGTGCATGCTTTGCGGGTCTAAAGTAGCATTTTTACTCTTTAGGGAATAAAATTCGTTTTTAGCCTCTATGGAGTAAAACTCAGCTGTTGTCAACTCAGTTGTAAATTTCTATTGTAAACTATTGAATACGTATCGAAATATGTAACGATTCGTGCTTCATAATCATTTTAACCTATAGTCTACGGTCTCTTCCCATAGCATTTTAGCATTGCAGATACATTAATCCATTACCACACTCAACACTGCCCACCTTTACTACTTCCTTTACCATCCCCTACGTCGTGGACCTGTTTCCCTCTCATCCCATAGCATTTTAGGATTGCAGATAGGGGCCTACATTAATGTAATTGCCAAATACACTTCCCACACTCTGCACTGCAAGCCTTACTACTTCCTTCACCATTTCCTACGTCATAGACCTGTTTCCATCCCTTCTCATAGCATTTAAGTATTAGATACATTTATCTAACTGCCCAAACGGTTCCCTCACTCTGCACTGCCAGCTTTTACTACTTCCTTCACTACTTCCTACGTCGTGGGGCCTGTTTCCTTCCCTTCTCATAGCATTTTAGGACTGAAGATACATTAATCTAACTGCCACAGACGGTTCTTACAATATGTTCATACTTTACTACTTCCTAAGCCACTTCCTACATCGTGGACCTGTTTTCATCACTTTCCATAGCATTTTAGTATTTTAGATACGTTAATCTAATTGCCACAAACATTGCCCACATTCCGCACTACTAGCCTTTACTACTTCTTTCACCATTTTCTATGTCGTGGCCATGCTTCCATCCCTTCTCATAGCATTTCAGCATTACAGATACATTAATCTAACTGCTACAAACGGTTTCCAGTTCCCAAACTGCACACTGCTCACCTTACTACTTCCGTCACCTCTTCTTACATCGCAGACCTGTTTCCCTCTCTTCCCATAGAATTTTAAGATTGTAGATACCAAGATACCTTAATCTAATAGTCATAAACAGTTCCCACACTCCGAAAAACTCGCCTTTACTGCTTCCTTCATCACTTCCTACGTCACGGACCTGTTTACCTTCCTTCCCTTAGCATTATTAGAATGCAAATACCTTAATCTATTGGTCATAAACAGATCCCACACTCCGGACAGCTCGCCTTGACCATGGTGGAAGTCTTGACTACTTCCTTCACCACTTCAGACATCGCGGACCTGTTTTCCTTCCGTCCCATAGCATTTTAGGATTGTAGATACCATAATCTAATAGTCATAAACAGTTTCCACACTCCAGACCATATTATATTGTTTTTATCATACTGCAGTAAAAACAGTCGTCATTGGCGCATGCTTTGCGGGTTGAAAATAGCTCGCCTTGACTATTTCCTTCACCACTTCCTACGTCACGGACCCGTTTTCCTCCCTTCCCATAGAATTTTAGGAATGCAGATACCTACCTAAATCTAATCGTCTTAAACAGTTTCCACACTCCAGACTGCTCATCTTTACTACTTCCTTCACCACTTCCTACGACATGGACCTCAAGCTAGTGTCGTCATTTGATTATATTTATGATCCATACCACCGTTTATATTCTAATATCTGTGGAATAATGCTAACAGCTATTTATTTATCTACTGCATTCAAAAGTCAACAGCTGATCATATGTCTTTGTTTATATGTCAAATACTGCTTTCATAAAGATTACATTGAAACTTTGAGACCCAGTGGGGCGGATTCCTGAGAGACTTTTTTAACGCCATATAGATGTTGGCACTCACCGATATGGTCTTTATCACCATGCAAAATTTGAAAACGATTGATTCAGCCGTCTAAGAGGAGTTTGCGTATTACGAAATGCATAAAAGTTGCCTTATAAAAGCTTCGCTCAATAAATAATAAATAAATTTTAAAGATAAAAATTTAAATATTTAAATTTAATAATCGCCGTCAGATGACAGACCAATTATATGAACTCCTTTCCCCATATAGTGAAAGAGGCTTTAACATGAACAAAAGTCATGAACAAGAAACAATAGTAAGACTTCTGAAAAGCCTTTTGGGCAACCTAAAGCCGATGAAAGGACAGAAAATATTGAATTCAACGAATTCATCAACCACGCTTTTTAAGGTACACTATCGTCTTACTCATAATCATGTTTATCCTCCCTAAGATTTTAATAACTTCGCTCCATCCATCACAGTTAGCTGAATTTACGTAAAACCTCAAGAGTAACCGTCGATTTCGACGGGATTCACCTAGTATTGTAGTTATTTGTTTAATAGATTAACAGATGATCAGTTAGTAAAACAAATATCGGTTGCCTCTAGCTACGCTATTTTAATATTATACTCCTGTTACCTGTAGTCCGCTAAGTCCTGGGCTGTGATGATTCCTCCGGCACTCTTGATATCACTGATGAAGGCTTCTGTGAGACCTCCATTGTATAGCTCATCAGCCATGAGGGGGCTGTAAGCAACTCTGCGCAATGTCTTGGCCAAAAGCGGCAGTTTTATTGTTTCTCCAAATTTTGGTAGCTCTCCATTTCCCAATAGCAAAATGGCACTGAAAATAAACCCAAATCTTATTTCAGGATTTGGACCAACCAGATGAATATACAATTGAAATACAGGGTGGTCATAAATTAAAATTATTGTACACATTTTAAAATAAAATACATAAACAACCAAGCAATTTATAAACATGGGAATTGTTTAATTAAATAGCAAATTTAAAGCAGTTTCGTACAGTAACTGCAAACAAATAATAATAATAATGTCAGTAATTATAAGAAGTAGTTATAAAAAGTCTGTAAAAATCATCAAAACTGTTATTGTAAGTTATTTTTTTTATCTCATGTGAGGACCCTTAAGACTATATATGTTTGACAATTCCCGTTCCTTTAAACTACTTGTACCACAGTTTTATAGAATTGTTACTTGGACTTTGGATAACTACGGCCATACTCTAAACGAAGCCTATATCAAACAGTTATTACAGATCTGCTTTTACAGAACCAAAGAACACACTTAGCTTTTTCTTATGCACACTAGCTATTTTGAAGAGTAGCTGAAGAGATCAGTTTAGTTTTTGATTCGTCAAATGTCATACACACAGCTGGTGTAGAAAGGTCCAAATTTGGCCAGCTGACTATGCTACAACACATGTCATTAAGAAGAAAACATAACTTACACTCATAGTTTAGGTGATGTTTACAGACTTTTTGTAACCACATTTAATAATTACAGACTTTTCTTAATGTTTGCAGTTACTGTATTAAACTACTTTAACTTTGCTATTTAATGAAACCATTCCCAAGTTTCTAAGTTGCTTGCTAGTTATTTATGTATTTAATCTTAAAATGTATACAATAATTTAGGACCACCCTGTCTATTATTGTGTGTGTTATAGAAAGATTGATAGGGCAAAATAGTTAGGAAGTTTTACAAACATTATAGAGTACACTGATAAATGATATTTAAAAAAATATTGTGTACATTTTTTCACATAATTAGTTAATATAAAAAATCAAAAGACTTTTTGTTTGACTACTATACAGTTCTTTATGATTTTATTTCTGATTATCTGGCTTTGACTGGGTTTATGTGGATGGGATCGGATTCCAGATGGCCCCAATAATTGCTTAAATAAAATAAGCTTACCATCACCCTACCCAAAATTAACTTTAATCGGACACGGGTTGTATTCAAAGTTTGTGTTGTTTCAACTTGGTTGTTATTTTCCGTTCAACAAAATACTTTTCATTATTTAATCAGCCATCTACCTGCTATTGTTTTCCTTTAATCATCAGTACAACTGAAAAACATGTGGTTTTCATTTGTTTCTTATGTTAACATTCAAATTGAAGCAAAAATGTCATGGTAGAGCTAAAAACAAATGTTAGAGAAATACATACAGTGTTACCTACAATTTTCAACCAAACGTACCTTAATGTCTTGCTGTTTCTAATTTCCTGCTCCATCACCTCTAAGTTCTTAGCCAAATGTTTACCGATGGGCACTCCCTCCTCGCACATTTGAATGGTGGGTTCAAACAGTTTGTGCCATTTCAGTCTGCCGTAGCGTTCCCAAGCAGCTTGATAACCTCTTAATTCTCCTGGCACGGCAATGGATAGTCCACCTAGGGTATAAGGACCTATTAAAGTGGTATTCCTCTATCTATTGTTTTGAAATATTCTCTTAACCTATTTCAAAGCTAGTTATTGAAATAAATATTTGAGTTAGGTATCAAAATTTATCAAATGGAAGTACTCTCCCGCAAAAATAGAAAAGCTCCTGGTTCTGATAAGATTTCCTGTGAGGCCCTCAAGAAGGTATTTTCAATCAAAATGCATGTCCACATGGGTTTTCCCAGTCCCCTTAGACTTGCTGGACTTGTTCTAATCAGCAAGGAGAGAGGTGACCGGGTTATCTGTAAACGTATTTTACCCAGAATAGGTCACTAAGATATCCAATAGTTAATAACACTTTTACGTTTTAATTCTACATATATGTATTATTACTATATTACCAATTACTTTCCAATTATTATTACTATTACTTTCTGGTGTTACGGTATGAGAGGTAAGATTCCCTATATCTCTTTTGCATAGGATTCACTACTGGCCCGAATCTCTAACTGGAGAGTTATTGGGGACCTCAGAGCAAGCGATCATCAGTACGTAATTTTTTTCATACTTGATGATAGGACCATCAGCAAGCGCTCACTTCAGGATTTGGACCAACCAAATAAAATACGTACAAACTGGATGTGGAGAAGTTCGCCAAAGTAATCTCACAGGGAGACTATATATATCCCGCTGCACATGTTAATTGGTGTGGAGGCATTGGTAATGTCTACAAAGGAAGTGATTGACTCGGCTTGGGACCAGGCCATGCCATGCAGGAGACCCCGTTGCAATAAGCAATCTGTGTACTGGAGGACTTAAGCTCTCCACTGGGCTATCAACCAGAGTAAGGCCAGCTATTGCTCCATAGCAAGGCTATTGCTCCAGATCAAGGCTATTGCTCCATAACAAGGCTATTGCTCCATAACAAGGCTATTGCTCCAAAGCAAGGCTATTGCTCCATAACAAGGCTATTACTCCATAACAAGGCTATTGCTCCAAAGCAAGGCTATTGCTCCATAACAAGGCTATTACTCCATAGCAAGGCTATTGCTCCCTAGCAAGGCTATTGCTCCATAACAAGGCTATTGCTCCAGAGCAAGGCTAATGCTCCATAACAAGGCTATTGCTCCAGAGCAAGGCTAATGCTCCATAACAAGGCTATTGCTCCAAAGCAAGGCTATTGCTCCATAACAAGGCTATTAACTCCATAGCAAGGCTATTGATCCCTAGCAAGGCTATTGCTCCATAACAAGGCTATTGCTCCAGAGCAAGTTGTTGGAGGAAACTTGAAGAAGACGTTGACTCTGATCCTTGAGCAGGGCCTTATTCAGACCAGTTTTTCCGGACAATTCTACCGGGGCCCAGGATGGGCCCCGCCAAACATATACTTCAATGAGTGGGGGGCCCAGCCTAATATTTTTACTGGGGTCTGCCAAAGCTGGGTGCAGCCCTGTCCTTGGGGACTGGGATACAATATTGTGACCCAGAAACTCGCTGCCAGATCTCCACCTTTCCTCATGGAGAGCACATCCATGGATAGGATCGTCACTGCCCTGTTTCCACTTCATCCATATCAGCTCTATTTTGATTACGGCGGGTTAGGGGATATTCCTCTCTTTACAATCGAAGAGTTGGTAACATCTATGTTCTATCCCGGAAAATAGAAAAGCTACTGTTTCTGATGTGATTTCCGGTGAGAAGAAGGTATTCAAAATCAACCCCGTCAAGTTGCTGCTGAGAGTGTATAACAAATATCAGAATGGGTTTTCCCATTCTCTTGGAAAACGGATGCATGGACTTAAGCAGCTTGAGCCAATCAGCAAAAGGAGAAACTTGACCGGGGATATACTTTCCTACAGACCTCTCTGTATGTTGGACATAGCCAACTATTTGAAAAGTTGATACCCTGACTTCTGCCGTAGAAGCTGCTGGGGACTTGTCTCCATGTCAGTACGGCTTCAGAAAGTGACTGTCAACAATCTACTTGTTATCTGAAGTACAAAGAGCGGGTCGTTCATTCCGAGAGTTTCAACTATTTTTCTCACTGAGTCATGCCTCTTAATACACTAGATGTCAAGAACGCCTTTAACTTGGCAAGATGGTATTTTCAAGTATTTTGAAAATATTGAGGAAACAGTTTCTACTTATCAGCGTATCTGTTGAGAGGCTCATCGAGCATTATCAATGTTGCAGAACTCTTGCTTGAATAGCGGACGATTGGTTTTGTTAGCAAGAGATTAATTGTTGCATGCAACGTTGAGCTGGCCGTACTGTAACAAACTAAATCAGGTCATGTGTGCAGTAGCCTAAATGCCTGGATGGCTGATCATTGTATGTTGCTCTCTTTGAGCAAGATTGAGATCGTCATCTTTATGGAGAAATGGATTGAAACCATCGTTGCGCTATGAGTGGTAAATGTTGTTGTCCAAACGGCGTGAACCACCAAGTACCTCAGTGTGATGGTGGATAAATTGAGCTGAAGAGACCAGATCTACTGTATGGTGGATGCTTGCGCGAATGCAGCGACAAATGGCACTCCAGGTCGCTTCTGCCTACCGCACGCTGTTCAAGCCTGCCGTTCTGGCGATTGCTGGAGTAATTCCTGTCAAATTCTTGTCAGCGAGAGGAAGGCAATCTACCAGAGATAAGGCTACAAGAAAGCTCGGTAAGGACGCTGCAAGAACAGAGGAAGGCTCCCCCACTTTCAAGATATGGCAAGAAAACTGGGAACAGGAGACTCAAGTATTATGGACTGCCAGAATCATCGGGCAGGTCCAACCATTGGTGGAATAACAGCATGTCGAGGTCGACTACTACATCACGCAGTTCTTGTCAGGTCACAGCTATTTTCAGTTTTACCTACATTTGATGGAAGTTGAATTCACTTGACTGTATAGTACCTGTTCCCGACGTTGCGGAGCACACATTCTTCCGCTGTCCACAATGGGATATGCTCCGCCGGAAGGCCAATTATTAGTTTCCCAGGCTACTGGGAAGCCAAATGTGTATGTGTTTAGACACATTTTCCTGCCTTTTCCTTAAGAAAAATAAAAAGATTACTACCGAATGAGATGGGGCACTACCTAGGTGCATATTTTAATCTAAATTTGAGTGAAGGATGAGTGTAGCTTTACCGACTAAAACCAGCTTTTACATTAGCCAGGACCATATATTAAAAGCCCAATGATCAAGGACAACTGGGTCCAGTGAACCATCAAAATCTACTACCATTTCTCAGGATCAAACTGGCAACTTTTTTTAAGTGACTCGTAACATCATTATATTGATTCTTGTTTTAAATGTTCTGGTTTATCAGGACCTGGTAATACAAATTTTGGATTTTATAATTGCTTTTGATACGATAGATGCTATTTTTTCATACAGCTCTGTCTCACCTATGGTAGAGAGAGTGATGTTGCCATGGAACATGTCTTCTGTGGCAGCGGCTGGGGCTGTCTCTCGGGCATTGAGAGTCTCAACTGTACCAGTCGTCTGGGCATGAGAAGCACATTAATGTAGATTATATATTACTTTAATAAAAAAGATAACTGACGTTTCTAAACTTATGCTACTGAAAAAACTGTTGTGTTGTATCAAAACCACCACTTTTGACAAACAATTCATTCCTTTTTCTTTAAAGCATTACATTAATTCTAATTCTAGTGGCACTCAAATATAATTTTTATTAGTAGCCTACATAGAAATTCCGTCCAAGATAAATAGTCGAGGATCTGAAGGGGGTTGAGTATGCATGGAAAGCCTGACATAAATTTTATTTCTGATTGTTGTTATAGTCACCATAGTGATCGTGAAAATGCATGTCGTCGCCCCCCAACGTGGTCGACATCCTCGGAGGGGGGGGGGGGATATTGCGTGGGTGCCGTTTACTAAAACGCTTATACAGTAGAGTCCCAGGACTGGAAAGGTGCCGAGTTTGTGAAATGCCGGGTTATCAGGAACTAGGGTTAAAAATAAGAACAATACAATTTTAAGCTTTTTAATCACCTTTTTTATTTACATTTATATTACAAGTCAGTATTAAGTCATCAGATATAGTACAACAAATCCTTGGTATGAGTTGCGAATAATTTGACTCGAGCTGGCTTGAGTCCATTTTTAACTCGGACTCAAAAAATCACTAATTTTCTGAGCCAGGTGATGGCCGAGTTATCCAGACTGCCGGGTTATCGAGTGCCGAGTTTGCGGGACTCTACTGTAACTCAAGAACCATTTGAGATAGAACATTAAAATAAATGTCAATTTACTCATATGACCTTCAAAAAAGTGTATTGTTTAATTCTTTATGGTTGTTTTTTTTTATCATTTTATACCTAAGCTAAAATCTTCAATACACAGTGTGTTAAAAAAGTCCCGGAACAGCTTAATATTTTTTTTAACCGACATAGATATGGTGGTACAATTTTGTATCCAGATATTTATCATAAAAAACTACCTTTTTAAGCAATTAATTATCAATTTTCCTCTCTTCTAGGGGGACGACCCACAAGCAATTTCAACTCAAACAGACAACCGAGTCAAATATGGCAGCTGTTCAAAGATATTTTGAATCTGCCATTTTGAATCCTTGAACTGCTGCCATTTTTTACCCAGTTGTTATTTTGGGCTCTAATTTGTGGCATTGTATTATACTTATTAAGAACTTTAATTTGATGTGCATATGCATGCATTTATAATTTTCTTCCAACTTCTAGCGGGTGCCTCCCAGAGGAGGTAGCTTATAGCAATGCTATTTCAACACATCTTTGAATAGCTGTCATTTATGACTTGGTTGTCCATTTCAGTTAAAATTTGCGGCTTTGTATTTTACTAGTAAATACCTTTAATGTGATGGGCATCTAAACATATGCTTACATTAAAGATTTTCTTCTTACTCCTTGTGGGCCTTCCCCCTGGAGGAGAAGATATTTGACAATAATTGCTTTAAAAGGTAGGTTTTAATGATATATATCTAGATACAAAACTGTGATACCGTATCTATATTGGTTAAAAACACATTAAGCCATTTCGGGACTTTTAAAGCACACTGTTTATTGAAGATATTAGCATCAGTGTAATATGAGTAAAATAATGAGTAAGTTGGTATCTATTTCAATGTTCTATCTAAAATGGTTCTCAGGTTATAAGCGTTTTAGTAAATGGTGCCCCCAGCCATATTAGCCCCCCCTCCCCCCAGGGATGTCGACCACGCTGGGGGGCGACAACATGCGTTTTCATGATCACCATACAAAAATCACCATGCCTATAACAAAAATCTGAAATAAAATTGCCCCAGGCTTTCCATGCATACTCAACCTGCAGATCCTGCACTAAAAGGGAAATACAACATTTATACTTAAAATAAAATACATAACTGATATCTAACTTATTGTAGCACCACACACAGTTTATTGACATATAGCTTCAGCTATTTAACCTCATATCTTAAAAGGGTATTAACGATTCCAAAGTATGTATCTGGTACCTCTGTAAATTGAATTTACCACAGAGTGGTCATAATATATTGCAATAATTATTGGCAAAGTCTGCATTAAGTTACTGTTAAAATAGATCACTTTTAGTTGGGGGAAATCTAAAAAAAGGGATTTATTTATTTCTTCCTGCCACAACAAACAAATATTTTTATATTCCTATAACACTTATGTCATTGGCCTACTAGTAGGTAGCAACATTATCATGTAGGGTTTTAATTAATTGATACTAATATAAATATATTTTTGAATTATTTCAACTCAAGTCTTGGTTCGAATAATTTTAATTTAAACTTTATTTACTCTAGTATTACCTAGTTATGTGGTCAGGAGGCAAAAACAACAAAAATTAAGTGTTGCATTGTTAAGTTTGGCATAGAGAATTACCAACTAACTTTTCTTGATACTTGTTGTTTCTGTTATTGTTACCTTGTTGTATATAGTCATGAGGAAGCCCCCGCCCAGCCCCATATTGTGTAGACAGGTTGCTCCATCACACAGCAATGTAGCGATGGCTGCGTCTACAGCCGAGCCTCCCTTCTCCAACATCTGTCTGCAACAATCAATCAATCATCAGCCAAACTGCTGCCTTTGATAAATGAGCTGTTTACTATTTATGTGTAGTTTGTAGTAATAATGATAAGAATGTATTTAAACAATTTTTTCATAACACAAAAAGACATATTCATAAAGGTGTCTCCATTATCACTGAGAGCGCTTTATTATAGTTTTCAACCTTAGGAGGAACAGCAACCCTAGTATTGTAAATTTAGTTTTTTCAAACCATTTAAAAAAATGTATATTTCATTTAATAGTTAATAGTTAGATTACAGATATACGTTAGTCATGTTAAGTCTTCCTAATGTTAATTTCTAATTTTAATAAGTCTAGGAGGTATTGTGATCATGGTTTTGTACATATTATAAATGGGTAGAATTATTTAAAAATTAGTAATTTTATTAACATTTAATTAATTGTGTGCATAGATTGTAACATTAATTTTGATATTTATGCTTTTTATTTACACACACCATGGCAACTCCACTCCCTCATATTCTCCTAAAAATCATCCCATGCCTACGTCATATGGCGTGATCTATCTTTTTCTCTCGCATGAAAAACTCAAATTTCTCCACCACGATTTTATTTAGTTAACATCTAAAACCTTCCTCCTTCCTTGATCGGACCTATGTGCTTCGCCGTACCGTTATTCTGGCAATCTCGGTCATTTGACCACCTCGGGGTGAAGTTTTTCTACCTCAAACCTCTCTCTTTTGTATCAGTTATTAACAATACTAAATTCTCTTCAAAGTGTCTGCAGTGAATCAGAACGTCAAGATCTGCTGGGTGTCCCTCTGTGTGGTGAGCTCATCCAAACCCCATTCGCCCTGTTTACCCTCCAGTGTTGGATTTTCTTATTGTAAGGTGTGTGAGATCATTTTTTCTTATAACTTATGTTAACTCCCACATCGAACAATTATTGTAATAACAACACTATAACCATACTCACTTTCCAAACTCAGCGCAGGGCAGCCCGTTGCTGACGACGGCGGCTTTGCTGAACCTTCCCAGTACAGAGGGGGTGGGAGGGGGGAGGCTGGTGACGTCAGGAGCCACCAACACATACTGATCCTCGGAGGTCCAGGGAGATGTCTGGTAGAGGTAGAGACTGGTTAGGACAACAACCAGCACCATCCCAGCCAACACGGAGACAAGCAGCAGGGCTCGGCCACTCACACCCCTATACACACATCACAGTTAGGTTATACTTGCAATCTACATATGATTTGTATTATTTATATAAATCATATGCTCTGGTACATTTGACAACAGATAGAACCAGATATCCCGATCCATGTCAAAATTATAGCCAGTTTCTATATAAAAATATTGTAACATTGAGACCCTGACAGAGTGTGCTTGTGTAAATTACTTATTTCTGTTGAATCCACCAACAAATTAGGTTTAACTGAAACAACATATTATTAAATAATAAATCTTATTATTATAAGCTCTTAAATGTATGTTTTACATCACATCAAATATCACAATATCAAAAACAACCGAGAAGAAACATGGAATGTTTAGCAGTACAGCATACTTTGTGAGGGGCTCGTTCAACTATTTTGTATTTTAATATAATAAAATAGCAGTTTATAGATGAGATGTCTATATCAGTACCCAACATCCAAATCTTCGTACATGGAACTTACAAAAAAATAATGCATAAGGTTAGCACAGATTAACTTTTAAAATACTGTTCAAAACCTTAGTAGGATATAAATAAAACAATTTATTGTTTATTCCATGAAAAGTGAATTTCAGAATATTATTGTGAGCAGGAGCAGATTCAAAAAAACTTGTAAGTTACCAATAATGCCATTTAAATGTCAAACAGTTTTGTTGGATTGGGAAAAGTAAAAAATATTTAAATTATTATAAAGAAACTAGCTGACCCGGCGAACTTCGTATCGCCAAAGTTATAGGTTTCCCCTAAGACAGACCGATGGAAAGAAAGTACCGTTAAGTTTAATTTTCAAGATGATCTCGTTCGCATCGCTCAATCACGTCCTGGTTGAAGTTCGTTCGCTACGCTCACTCACCTTTGGGTTGGAGCTCGTTCGCTACGCTCACTCACCTTTAGGTTGGAGCTCGTTCGCTGCGCTCACTTGCCTTCAGGTTAGCTCGTTCGCTACGCTAACTCGCCTCCAGGTTGAAGTTCGTTCGCTACGCTCACTCACCTTTGGGTTGGAGCTCGTTCGCTATGCTCACTCACCTTTAGGTTGGAGCTCGATCGCTGCGCTCACTTGCCTTCAGGTTAGCTCGTTCGCTACGCTAACTCGCCTCCAGGTTGAAGTTCGTTCGCTACGCTCACTCACCTTTTGGTTGCAAATTAGCTGTTGTCATAAATGTAAAAGAAATAATAGTGCTGCACCCTGTTGGTAATCCTTGTAACTTTAATGCTATTGAACATCATAGAACAGAACCAACTTGTTTAATTGAAACAGCTGTTAAGATTCATTAATTCCATTTCTCATAAGGTTAACATGGGAAACTCCAGAGCCACTGGGGCGGAGCCCTTTTAAGAATTTCGAAACGGGAAATAGTTTACTTTCTATTCGCATACCTACAGAATTTACACACCAAATTTCATAACGATCGGTGAAGTCGTTCCGGAGGAGTTTGCAGACAAACACTGTGACACGAGAATTTTATATATTAGATGAGAAAACATGTTAACATTAGCAATAAAAACTATGAAATGAAAAAGTAAACATATAGAAAAAATAGCATTATGACAAATACACTCACACATGATAGAGACAGTTCAAGGGAAATAGTCTTCAACAAGTTTTGTTTTTACAATTCAGCCAAAATTGTAAACATGTCAATTTTACAAATTTGTTTCCCAAACTTACCCTAACTAGGGCAAAACTTATACTGTTAAAAGGTTATTGTATTTCTATCTATGTAACTATAGAGTAATTGATAATATAATGGAATATAACAAATAAAATACTGTAGGTACATCTTCCGATCCTACATATTTTTATGTACAGTGTAAATGTTTACAGTGTGTCCTAAACCACAGTGCATATAAATAAACAGAAAAAAATTATGGTTAGGAAAAAAACTATTACTGTAGTTAGTTTTTGAGAAATTAACTAAAATTACCTGGTTTTTAAACCAAATTCGTCCAACAACACTGTTGATGAATCTGGTAACCTAGCTTTCCCATGGCTTTGTTTACCTCTTCTGGCCTCTTCAAAAAGTTCTTTATTTATTGATTTTTTATCCATTGTTACTCTTTACCTCAAGACTACTATTCTCTTCAGTATATGAACATAAATATATTTTCTTCGATGACGTACAATTACCTAACTTTAGCCTACATTTACAACTCTACTATCATAGCTATAACTACCGGACGATGCCACCAGAGTCACAGGACCGACCCCGACCACCTTGAGTCACTGATCCACACAGCACTGACCGCCGGCTTATGTCGTTCCTCTTATCAGTGATCGTATTGACCTCTCTTATCAATAGTCTCTCGTGTGCCACGACATAATGTTACACACTTAGTTAATTGTTATGTACACAATGACTAGCTACAAATTGTCTTTGATTACTTATTGGAAAGTAATGATAATCTGATTACAACTATTTTTAATTCTGCCAGATTAGCTCATTAACGTAAGACGTCCATATAACTGTGTATATTGGTTTGTGACTTATGTTGTTGTTATTAAAGTTGATAGTAAAATATCATCTTACTTTTCTATAAACAGACTGTGTAAAATTTTGAAACTATCGTAATCAATTCAATTTTAGGTCAAATACTTTGTCTTTTTTAATTAAGCAAAGGTTGTTATGCATTTAAATTTAACAGCACTAAGAAGTGGTCTATTTTTTTATGTCACTGAAATGAAACGTGTGACACAACAAGACGATGTGTGTGTGTAAACAAGACGAGCGAGGTTGAAACTAATCAAATTGGAGGGATGAAAGTTGCAGCCAGAGCAATAACCTTTCTATTAGAGGGGTTTTGCCGTTATGCCGATTGTGCTACAACTGAAGATAAATGCTAAATATACATTTTATTTCTTTATATGTTCTTACCTGTTGAAAATCATTTTCAGTGTGCTGTTGGTCGGGTGATTCTGAAAATAAAACCATCTTAATTAGATTTGTGACATTAACAATGTAGGCTACTAGCAGCTTATATAATTCGCCACTTCTTTCATTATAATCAGGGGCGTCGCCTTGGGGGGGGGTAGGGGGGGGAGCCTCCCCCCCTAGAATCTGGGAAAGAGAAAAGTTGGGAATTTCCTTGCCACGAGTTGGGACAGTTGGGAAGTCAGATACAAGAAAAATATATTTTTAAACTAAACAAAATTTAAATATTTGCGAAAGGAAATCCATCAAAGATAAAAATGTCTTTGATTTGGACAAATAAACTTGACGCTTCTTTGATTTCATTTAACTTTGATTAAACAAGGGTAAACCATGGCTAAACACGCCTTATTTTAAGAAATCAATAATCAATTAGTGGTATAGCTTGTTGGAATTTCGTTTACGAGAAATTTTATTCCTTATTGGACGTATGTTGGCTACCTTGATCCTGTTCTGTGTTGATGATTCTGAATGATTCGTCTGCGAGGCTGCGAGTTTGAATTTTGAAATTGCAAGCGATTGTAGCTCTTCAGTTCAATTATGTTGTTTGTTAATGTTAACAAGAAATTCAAAAATATTTTTCACGTCAGTCACATGAAATATATTTTATACCTTTTTTGTGGTATTTGGAGCAGGCTAACTGACCGGAGTACTTGCTAATAAGCAGATTAAAATAACATTAAAGATAGGTTTTGTGTATCGATTAGGCCTACCTTTAAAACTCTTATTTTTTAATAGCCTAAATGAAATATTTATTCTCTGAATATATTTTAAAAAATCTACACAAGTTATTTATCATTCCTAATTAAGGATTTACACAAATGAATCAACTAATCACTCTGAAACAGATCTACGTGGACAAAACATAACCTAAAATTTGATGTTTGACTTTCACTCTAAGTTTGATTTTTGTCTAAATTCTAGTTTGATGAAGATGAAGGTTAACATTTTTATTGTATGTATAAGTTTATTATCAACCAAGTAGGACGTTTTTATTTTATACAAGTCTTATTTTAGGTTTATTCTTTTCTAGACTAGAATAATATTATTCACAACACTGATATTAATATTTCACATTACAAACTTGTTTAGGCCTAGGTACCCTAGTTGTAAGTTTTACGAAAGTTAAAATGTTGATCTTAACTTCTAAAAGTATTTTAATTTCATTATTTTGTAATAAAATATTTTTTCAATACTAATTTGTACTAGGCTTATTTTATATCCCTAAAATTTTACACTGCTACGTCTGCTACCACAATGGTTTGTAAAGTTTTTTGGATTTGAAACATTATACTTGTTCAAGTTTTTTGAAGTAATAAAATTTCATTATGAATTGGTAGAAGTTTTAGAAATTGAGTAATTTTGTATATATGTAAAACTAGCTATGTTTTGTTAATGGAAGTTTATAAATACTGAATTGAGTGTGACTGCAGTGTAGTATAATAATTTGTAGATTTTTAAAAATAGTACAGAAATTGATTTATAAAAAAAAAATAGTTGGGAAATCTATGTTAAGCAGTTGGGAAATTTGAGGCTTCTCCCCCCCCCCTGGAATTTAACCAAGCAACGCCACTGATTATAATACTTTTAAAATGAGTATTGAAATTGTGATGGTTTGTGCATGTTATGTATAATCATTATTGAATAGTATCCATATGTCAATTATTGAATCCAGTTAACATTTTGGTATTTGCGCTATTGTTTTCTTTGTTATGAAGGGAATTAAATGAGGCGAGGGTTCACGATTGGCCACACGCTCTGTAACCAGATACGTAGTAATTTCGTTATGATCAGATTGTCTATCTACACAAGGACGTTGATGTTGCGCAGTGATCAAACGATCAAAGCCACGGTGACCCTTGCTGAGATCAAATGATCAAACTTCGCCACGCGGCGTCTGTTGCGGTTGCGACATGAGTTGATATTGTTAATAATCACAATGGAAACTGTTCATAATGGGGACATCGTTAAACGCTTGTGAAACACTGGTGGATTTTGGACTGATTACTGCAATGAGTATAATGAAATGTCAATTACCATTTCGATTGTAAACCATCCCCTTTTCACAACGTGTGTATTGGGTTGCTAATCACAATTTACAGGTTACCGTTTGCTTTGTTGAGCGTGTGTTGCTGACAGTGAGCTCGCTGGAAATACTATGATGAAGTCAAAGTAATGATCACTTTTTATACATGTAAAAATAAAATCGTACAGTACCCATGAAAATAGTAAGTGTAAACCACCCTATAAATTAGGCTATTGTATAAATCAGTGATATTCTACTATCTACGTATATCTATGCATCCATCTATCTATAGGCCTATACTTCATTATTTATTATTATTATTTCAATATAATAAGGATTTTCCCTGTTAAGCTCAACCTTGGATCTGTGGTAACACCCCTTTTCCCTACTTAAACAATGTTTACGACTGAGGTGTCCTTTTAAAACTTGTGATCTAGCGCACCTGCGAATGGAAAATAAAAATTGTATTTCCTTTAGGGTCCTTTTATTTTATTTTTTCCATTTTCAAAGATCCAGTTATGCTAACCAATTTTCTTTATAACAGTTTAAATGTGAATTGTAATTTAACGGCTGTTCCTTCAGTTGAAACCACAGTCAGATTTTCAACAAGAGACTAAACAGTTAATGACAATGTATTTTTCCTACAGTTACCTGACAAACGAGCTTTCTTGCACTGATTATAGCACGCAAAGTAGCTGATTCACGCATTTAATTACTTTGTTGCACTCATTTTACTTTCCCGCACTCCAGTATTTCAACCAAACAACACAAAATAGTGTGCTTGTATTAGGCACGTAATATGATGCTTTAAAACATGTTTGCAACACTGCTAAATTGGTCAGCTGATGCAGTGTTTATTTGCCATTCCGTTTGAACCTGTTGTTGCGTGTCAACATAAACACTAAAAACCAAAAATTGTGATCACATTTGCAGACTCTCTCTGTACTGTACTACAAGTGAGTAAATCATGCTGATTTCTCCGTTTTGTCCCATGATTTGTTACAAACAGTTTCTATAGTTTAATTTCTCATGTGTACCTGTCTAATATTTCTTTGGTGCTCCTAACAGAAACAAGGCGACTCGTAATACAATAACATTTCACTTGTAACGACCAAACAGTTTTATTCGTAGCAGAAAATTCCAACATTCAGAAAATGACCGATAAGCAAATTATTTTCGTGTGATGAAACGAATCTATAGCGCCTATTACCAGTAAAAACCAGTTGGAGATGGACTGAAAAATGACGTAACATTGTGAAACTTTCAAACGTACCCAAATGTGTATATAACGACGGGACTTAACAGTAACCATGCGGCCAAAGAGAAGGTGTCATGATTTCTCCCAGCTATATTAGTTAGACATCTAAAAATTATTACAGTATTAGCAAGCTTAAGAGATGTTGTCACAAAATGTCTCATTAAAGAGAATTGCAGCTTACCAAACCACGACTGCAATGATGGTTGTTTGTTCCGTCAACGTCGTAATAATATAAAGTAAACCTATCGTGTTTACATCTCACGCTCGATACTAGCTGTGACTGTTGCTGAAGCATGATCGGCAATTTCATTTATCACTGAGGTATACAAATTGTGCGACTTCTAGATGTAGTCTGGACCAAACCATGTTATGATATTATCTTTTTAAACCATAAAACTAAACAAATTTTTACTCAAATTTTAATCACTCCCACAAAGTTCAAATCTCGTGCAGACGTGTTTCTCCAGGTGGACAAAAATCTACCTACACGACTTTGTGTGTATTTTTTGCCACAACGCGATTTTTTATAAATCTACTTTTTTCTATATTTTTTACTCCAAAATTAAATTATTGATATTAAACCTTTTAGGTTTAAATACATGTTTTAAGTTTTCGTCAACTATTTTGGTAGTGTATGATGGTTCTACGATTGTTGATGTTTTTGTTTGCAGACAAACTGCAAAATGGATCCACGTTATTCCGGGTTTGTGATTAAAAGCTGAAAATCGTTCATTATAGTAGTTTACGCAACGATTCACTGACATGAGTAAAAACTTCTACGAGTGTCGTTAACACTATTTATGTGAGTTGCGTATACCACTTTACCTACGACAGTGTTTTAATTACTAAAAATCACTACTCATATCTTTTAAAAGAGGTTATTTTTTCGTTTATAACCTCTCATTGCCACTGACAGTGATGCAACGAAACATTCTACCACACACTAATTCGAAACGGCACACGGAAGATTTCTCAGGTGCCGTTTGACGTCACTAACTGCTGACGTCACTTTGA